AAGATTTTATGATTCCTTTTATCGGTCAAAAGAAATTCACATATCCCGTTTTTGTCAATAAAGTGAAAAAAATGCTGTACGAATATAAAATAGTACATAATGTGGGTGTTGATGACGCCTTCAAAGCGTTAAGTTTGGAAAATTCGAAATATCTTGATAGAACACTACATACCTCTGGTATCTACATTACTTTCAAAATATACTATCATTATCATGACATTATCAGATGACATTATCGGTCACGTTGTCGGGTTTCAATTTATCTTAACACACGTTATTGCGATAGATTTCCACCGATGGTATGAGTCTTATGACTGTTTAGCATCGTCTTCTTGGTCGATTGGATCTTGTCCTGATAATTGACAAGCTGTGTTCTATACTTTTGTGGCTGAACATAACAAGACGGCATTTCACATTTGGCACATGTCCGTTGTGGGGAGCAAAGCGCGTTTTCGTCAATTTCATTGGAGTAAAACGTCTGTGGCCTGCATCACATCACCCGCTTCTTTCCATATCAACCTGACACTGAGATATAACAGGAATACTGTTCAATACTGCTGATACTGACTTTTTAACTGACTCACTGTTCGAAGAAGCATACAACCTAAATAAAAATCACTCACTCATCATCAGGGCGACCCGTGAAGATCCGGGTTAGAATTGATCTTCAGTAACCCATGCTTGTCGTAAGAGGCGACTAACGGGATCGGGTGGTCAGACTCTCTGACTTGGTTGACACGTCATCGTATCCCAGTTGTGTAGATCGACGTTCATGCCTTTGATTACTGGATTATCTGGTCCAGACTCGATTATTTATAGACCACCTCCATATAGCTTGAATATTGCTGAGTTCGGCATAAAACTAAACTCACTCACTCACTCACTCATTCACACCATCACGGCAACGCAACACGTTCAGCAGCATTATATTATTGATTTCATTTACTGTAGATCTTGATATATATAATTCTTAATCAGGTGTTAGTATCGCTTCGCCGAATTTAATCTAATTTTGTTGGTACACCACTGGCACATACACTAACGGACATTATATCCAATAAATATACTTCATCAACTCAGTGACGAGAGATGAGATTTCTTTTTATGGCACTGACATTTTGGTTTTTGATAAGTTCTCAAATTTCTGCCCATTTCTACTTTTACAAGGTTTTCTCATTTGCAAATGAAATTCAAACATTTATGAAATTTATCTGATAAACTAAAATAGACACAACAGAAATCTGTGTACATCTAACAAGTTCACCTACGCACATATCATGTAAGGTTTACTTGGCGGAACGTTTGGAACTATTTTGTAGCATATCACTTAACCTTAGCGCGTGACGCATGTTTATTCGAGGGCAACGTTAAAAGAAAACAGTTGTCCACGTTTGAGTGAGTGAGTGAGTGAGTATTGTTTTAGGCCACTTTTAGCCATAGTCCAGCAATATCACGGCGGGAGATACCAGAAATGGGTTTCACAAATTGTACCCATGTGGGGAATCGAACCCTGGTCTTCAGCGTGACGAACGAACGCTTTTAACACTGGACTGCCAGACCGACCCTGTCCAAGTTTGAAGCTTGCCAAGATTCAGCTAGGTAAGAAATGGGAAATACAACTTCAAACAAAAATGAGTTGGCACAGTAATTTTGTGTCATATGCATATGTCAGTGAAATGTATTAGAAAAGGGCCAAAAATAAGACTGTGCATGATATGTGGCAAATCCTGAGGATACGGGCAAGGAGTAAATGTATGTATTTTTACATTCTATTTATAAACGCACTCTTGCCAAGGTAAAGGTCACCGGGAAACTCCTGCCCTTCTCCGATTTTCTGAAGTGATCGAAATATAACATTAGGTCCACGTCCAGCCAATCACAAAGTACGATAACACACATATTTTAAAATTATCTATAATTCAATCGACACGACTGATTTGTGATTAGGTTGAACTAATAAATAATGGATTCCAATAAGAGAGGATCTTAAGAAAACGATTTGTTCACTTCAGCGGTGACTAATGCAAGGAGGTCAAAGTGCACTCCGTAAAGAAAGTATCAGAGACAATGAAGCTTTCTCAGTAGGACCAGCTAGTCTATCTCACAGTCCCCGAACCACATTATTTTCCTAATGCCTAGCCCTCCCTGCAATGCTAAAGCTCTAGTTTTTCAAGTCAAGATTTTCCCAGGTTCCAGGAATCTCCCAATTCAACTCACTGGGGCTCTTTCCCATTTAAATGGGTTTATTTGTTACCGTCAAAATTATATATATTCAGGGACTAAGTGTTAGTCTGTAGGACCAGTGTGAGCAAGACACGAAAGCGGAAGCCATCGAGAGGGTACGAATACTTTGGGCGGTTTCTGATTCTTAACCTGATACAAATGTTAGAGAAAATTGTAAAACAAATATAATTGACATTTTTTTTAAAATTATGTTGCCTACAGTAACAAGTATATATTGCATACTATTCTTTTTGATCAGATATAGTGTTACCATCATGATCATAATAATCACCATCGTACATTGAATCAACAATAACGTTTGACGATTAACATGTGCGTTTTAAATAACTCAGTGGCGGTGGAGTAAAGAAACTTCGAAGTGAAGAAGGCCTCAGAACTTTACGACTTAAGCTACATCAACGAGTTCGGGTATGCAACGAGCGCGGGTATGCAAACAAACGATCACAGCAATTCTAATCCAGATCTTCACGGGTATGATGCAGTGGACAACTCGGTTATCCATAACAGAAACAATGATCAGATTTTCCATGTACCACAGGATTACAGGTAACGGACCTTCACAATACTTTCAGTAAAAGTACAGTTATTCTGAAATGTAATAATTTAAAAGCATCTTTCAATACATATTCATGACGACTTGATTTGCAATTTGCATGTTAATTTTAGGTGCACAATTTAGGTATTTTAGCTTTTGATTTATTCAATGCCGACTTGTACGTGACCGTAGATTACGCTTAAGGCAATGTCAACGCGCCTTGGGCATGCCATAAAGAAGAATGAATCAAACCGAAGTTGCTAGATGTCTAAATGTTCATCGAAACATAATATCATCTCTTTGGAGCCGTTACCTATAACAGAACTACACTAATGGATTGCAATGGACCAGTTGTCCACGTGTGAACAGGACAACCATATTGGGTCTACGGAATCGATACCAAACTGCCACATTAACAGTTCAGACAATTCCGTGGTAAAACAAAGGCCTGATAATGGTACAATGTTTTAACGCGTATATTGAACGTTCGACTTTCAATGTGAAAAGAATGAATGTATATTTACATTGATATGAACTAATTCTGAAATTTTCAAACGAGAGAAAAAACGTGATTTTTTCGAAGACACTTTTCCTTTAAAAGAGAAAACACGAAAATGTCATTAGAAAAAGGAATATTTTCCTTCTGGACAAATCGAAGAACCATAATACAGCTGCCTTCACAGAACTGCAAATAGTGTGTTACAAGTCAAAACATCCTCTGGGTTTTGGTTCGTTGGATTGAAGCGACATTTGTAAGAAGAGATCAAAGAAAACAAATCTAATGGTATCTTTTATTTGTAATTTGAATATAATTTGATTTTGTTTCAGACAAGCATATACCTTTTTTGCAATTGAGACGTCTTTCGATGATTCACTCAGATCTTTCTTGCTAATGGACAAACAGATGGATAGCGCGTAAACAGCGTGTTAAAACCAGTTGGCACGAATAGATTTGATTGAAACTACGCAGCGTACTGAGGCAACAATGTTCTGATGGATTTGGCTGAAAATACGCGGTGTATCGATAAAAGTTAGGACTGAGGATTTGGATGGATATACACTGCGTATTGAGTGCGGTTAATACTTATGGATGAGTTTGAAAGTATACAGGGTATTGAGAATAGTTGGTACTGAGGAAATACATACTGTTTGGAGGCCAGTTAATACTGATAGGTTTGGTTGAAATTATCCAACTTATATTGAGCACTAGTTAATTCTGATGGATTTGGTCGAACATATGCAGTGTATTGAGACCAGTTAATACTGATGGATTTGGTTGAAAACACCCACCTTACATTCAGCACCGATTAATTCGGATGGATCTGGTCGAACATATACAGTGTATTGAGACCAGTTAAATTCTGATGGATTTGGTTGAAACTATCCAGCTTATATTTACCACTATTTTATTCTGGTGGATTTGGTTGAAAATATACACTGTATTGAGACCAGTTAATTCTGATGGATTTGGTTGAAAATATACACTGTATTGAGACCAGTTAATTCTGATGGATTCGGTTGAAAATGTACACTGTATTGAGACCAGTTAATTCTGATAGATTCGGTTGAAAATATACACGGTATTGAGACCAGTTAATTCTGATGGATTCGGTTGAAAATATACACTGTATTGAGACCAGTTATTTCTGATGGATTCGTTTGAAAATATACACGGTATTGAGACCAGTTAATTCTGATGGATTTGGTTGAAAATATACACTGTATTGAGACCAGTTAATTCTGATAGATTTGGTTGAAAATATACACGGTATTGAGACGAGTTATTTCTGATGGATTCGTTTCAAAATATACATGGTATTGAGACCAGTTAATTCTGATGGATTTGGTTGAAAATATACACTGTATTGAGACCAGTTAATTCTGATGGATTTGGTTGAAAATAGACACTGTCAGTGTATTGAGAGTCCGTACTCATGTGTTTTCTTGAAAATATCCGCTCTGTAACTTTAATGTCATTACCATATTACGCCTCACCTTTCATATCTGAACAAATGAAAAGGTGTTCATTCCTTATATAATCGATATGCATGAAACATTGATTCGTGTAATTATAGCAGTATTACGGTTAGGCTAACACAAATGCTGGCACTCACAGCCAGTCTTTGGCAACTGGACTGTTTACGTCCCTAATTACCGTTGATTGGTCAGACGTCCAAACGTGGTCAAATGTCATGAAACTGGAGAGATTTACGACGGGCAATCAGAGAACGATGACCAAAGGTGACAGTCGATGCAGGTCAGAGTCTGAACTTGTGTCCAAGCCTTGACCGATGTCCAGTCCGGCCTTCACCCTCACCATGTTCCGGGCGTTGGCTGTGGTAAAGGATTACTCCAGGAATCTCACATTTAGGCAAACCTCAAGCGACGTTCGCTGATCGATGTGTGTGTGGATATTGTGCATTTGCTCGTAATTGCTAATTTAAGAATGAGGGCGCATTTATCTGCTGTTGGAAACACGTCTATCAGTTTATCAGTTTATTTCAAAGTATGCAATATTTGGAGATCTGAGTACATGAAACCCGCATAGACATTAAAATTTATTATATTTATTTATTCGTTTTGTTTATTATTTAACGCCACACTCAGAAGTATCCAAGCTATATGGCGGCGGTCTATCAATAATCGAGTTTGGGCCAGACAATTCAATTATTGAGATCACGAGCGTCGGTGTGCGCAGTTGGGATAAGATGACATGTGTCAACCATGTGTCAACCATGTCAGAGAGTCTGACCACGGGGGCCCCTTAGACGCCTTTTACGACAAGCAAGTGTTGCTGAAGACGAATCCTAACCCGTGTGAAGCTGATTATAGGTGATATTTGCAACATCATGCCAGTGTTAACTATCCCGAACAGATGTGTACATGTAGAATATTCTCACTTGTACCAACTTTGATCTTCTGTTCTGACTGCCTAATGTTTTGTACATATTATTACTGAACGATGAACATTTATTCAAGTAGATGGAAATGACGATGGTGTATGACATTACTGTAAACAATGATGACATAGTTATCAACATAACGACCTAAGTTATATTAAATAGGTGTTAGAAAGTGTAAACAACTTAATTTGTTTCAGGGGCGGTGGGGTAGCCTAGTGGTTAAAGCGTTCGACCGTCAGCCGGGTTCGATTCCCCACATGGTGAAGCCCATTTCTGCTGTCCGCCGTGATATTGCTTGTTTATTGCTAAAAGTGGCGTAAAACTAAACTCACTCACTAACTTGTTTCAGTTAACTCTACATCCAAAGAATCAATATTGTAACACCAAGGAGTGGCAACTGCTCACTTCAGAGAGAGCGGTTGTAATAATTCCTGTCATTACGTTGTATCATCTTGACTATCTGATTAACAATCTGCGTTGATTCCTGTTCACATTAAACTTTTGACGCGATATCAAAGACATTTAACTACATCTGTGTCAGTTAAGACGCTCCATCACTCCCAATCAACGCTTGACGTCAGACGTCTTCGATTTTCACTTTGCGACCCCAAACTGAAAATGTTTGATAGTTAACATTCCGCTTATGTTGCAACGCCAGAACGGCTTAAATGTCACATCGAAAACTGGTTATGCTGGATGATAAACATGGAGGCAATATTTTGATTTGCAATGGCAGCTCGCTTTATCTCAACGTCAAAATACGACGTTTTGCGCCGAAACGGAGCCAAACTGGTGGATGCATTTATGTATTCTGTTTAAACCACGTGTTGCAACTGTTAGATTCAGTCAGTCCCACAAACGTTTAAATCAGCAGATGGTTTGCAAGAAATTTAGAACATCCAATTTTCCAGAGTAGGCCCACCTAATTAATTGAATTGCAAATGAATTATCTGACAACATGCATGGAGAAGAGAGATGTAAAATGTCTTTACACAAAATCAATACAAACATGTAACAAGGTGTCTGCGTTTTATCAAGAGGATGGTAACATCCGCACGAAGCCATCTCGTCGAGCAAGTACAATTAATGACAGAGGCTTATAGCTCCGTGTTAAATATAATACGTCTCAGAATATTAATGCCAATGAAATATATCAGAAAAAACAGCTTTTGGTAAAAAGACCAGAGAAACGTGTTAATAAAATCCCTTTGGTTTTATTAATAGAGGCCAACAGAGACAAGTAAAAAGGAAAGGGTGATTCAAATGTAGATGTATGTCCTTGCCGAGCCCATCCGTAGTAATTGAAGATTAATGTCACATTGGCGGTATTCAGCGTCAAGGTAGGAAGATCTGATCTGCTCATGATACAAACAGGTTATTTGTTTGGTGAAAAAGAATAACGCAAAATTTGACAATATTCTACCAATTTGCCTATGGCCTGGAAATAACCGATTCGGAACCTGATAAACTCGTGACTGATATCATGAACAACGTCCCGCGCCATCATGGCACCATGGATCGTCTAGGCCAGCGTGTTTCTCGCGATCTGTTCCAGCCCCTGAAGCATCTTGACAGGAGCAAGTATGTCAGGATACCCCCAGAGATGGAAATTAATCGGAGTTGTATAAGACTAGTGAACAGCGTGTTTGACGGCCTACATGATTTTCAGGGGAGCTGAACGGAAAATTAAAAAAAATAACATACGTCATTATTCACTAACGATATGGCAGAAACATCGCTGATGGGATGTTTAAGTATATAACTCATTCAGTCACTCATGAGTATTCCCTGGAGGCATTTTGTTCCTGTACAGGTTCGTAGACTTAACCTGTTTTCATAGGTATGGTTCATCATAAACGTAGGCTAACACTTCATGAACAGAAGATGAAAGCTCTATATGCTCATGCCCTTATTGCCTTTTCGAAAGTCGTCAAATGTAAGAAATTGTGCTATTTGGAATAACACTTTCTTAATAAAGAACAAATTCTATTACATATTTAAGAAGTTTATGTCACCAAAAGACCTGGTAAGGATGCCTAGCTAGGTTGTAGCTTCGGTGATGATTATGTCACAGATCTGTTAATATTCACTGATGTCTGAAAGCGCTACCCATAAGATGAACTGGAATCTTCTTCCCGTTTTGTTTTTCAAGACGTACGCTTCTAACGACCACGTGTGAAGTTCTTCAGTCAGCACATATTTTTTATCATGTACCTCAATAATTGAAATTAAGACAGAATATTGTTTCACTTCCAACTGCTTTCACGCTTCAAGTCTCAAAGGCAATGCCGGATGATAAAAGAACGTGTAGGTTCTCATGTCGTGTAAACATATCATACCAACATGCAATGTCTTATTTGTTTGAGTGGCATTAAAGGAGTTGGTGGAGTAGGGATGACAAGACTTTTTGGATGATCAACTTCTTTATTTGACAACGGCGACGTTTCCGTATATATTCTCAAATAGCATGATGATCAGCTAAGATGACATGGCAATTAGAGACTGTACCCCCACCACCTTGGCTTCTGTCTAATTAACTTACAGTCACTAATTGTCATGGTAATCCCACTCATCTCATTTATGTCATCTTAGCTCATCATCATGCTATTGTCACTCATCATTAACTTTCTTTGGTGCTTTGTTTTGCCACCCTTGTTTTTGTTATCTCTTTATCTGATCTTGTATATATACTGGTGTACCCCTTCATTCCCCCATATGCTTGAAAACGGTATAAGAACCTATACCGAAACGTCGCCATTGTCAAATAAGGAAGTTGATCATCCATAAAGTCTTGTCAGCCCAATGCAATGTCTTACATTGCTGGTGTTTGTTTACCATTTAAATAAAACAGTGTATATTTAGTTATATTGTCTTACATGGATGACCTTGCATGGATGCGACTGCGAATGTCATTGACAAACAAGTATTCAATTCAATTCAGACCAGCCATTCAGAACCTTATATAGTACACTTATGCTTGATGGCGGTACATGTGGTTTGAAAGCGACTAGGATTTCACACAATACATTTAAACCCAACTCGATAAACAAATTAACACAAAATCAACGTAACAGTTCTTTAATAGTATAATATTTCATTTGTTTCTTTATGTTTATCCACAACAAGGACACAGACCCTCTGAATGAGTACAAACATTACTGAATCAATACTATACATCATTGAGTTTTTAACACGAAATTCGGCACCAGAAATGTGTCTCAGTCTTTAAAACATACAGGTACATGCATATAAAAACGTACAAAAGAAGCATACGTGTACATGGCAAAATATGATATATTAGCACTGTTAGGTATAGTATATCATTTGAATATATTCACAATTTCATTTCGTAATTTCACAATAATGACAATGGAAAATCTCTAAAACAGATTACACAAACGAGGGAAAAAACAAAATATATTCTACATGAAGAAAACAGCGTGAACCCACTTAATCAATTACATAAATAAACTAACATCAAAAGCTTGCACATACAGTAACAACACCTAAAACGGTTTACCTGTTATATAAAGAAACTATTAACAACACAAAACATGTTTACATTAAACCAAATAGTTTTGTTTGAAATCGATATCAGTTGAAGACTGATAGAAAAATAGAACGCTGATCTTGTATGCGTTACTTGACGAATGTCAGCCATGAAGAGATGCCACAAGACGATATTTCTCGAAGGAGTATGGACAAAAATATGAGCAATGCAACTATCACAACTGTGACGCTCCAACGGTTCACACGTTTATGTGGAGTGAGTGAGTGAGTTAAGTTTTACGCCTCACTCAGCAATATTCCAGCTATATGGCGTTGGTCTGTAAATAATTCGGGTCTGAACCAGACAATCCAGTGATTAACAGCATGAGCATCGATCTGCGCAAATGGGAACCGATGACACGTGTCAACCAAGTCAGCGAGCCTTACCACCCGATTCCGATAGTCGCCTCTTACGACAAGCATGGGTTACTGAAGATCAGTTCTAACCCGGACCTTCACGGGTATTTTATGTGGAGGAATCTCGACCTTGTAACAGCTAAAAGAAACATGTTCTTTGAGATATTTTGGTTGACCCTTAAGTGGTAGGATAAACGCTTGGGAGCCACGTTGGAATTTAATATTACTGAATGATTATCAGATCTGAACAGCCATGGTAGCAATAATATTGAAAAAGGAGAGAGATCGAAGGTGATTATCCGCAAAAGAGAAGCAATGTCGATGGAAATATTAATCTGCAGATATTGTAATCATATCTATGTTTGTGATCTTTGACATAGATGAACATATTCATAATACTCAATGCGTACCTTCCAAATTCAGCAGCATGTGACGGTAATATCGTTCACAGCATCGTCACAAACTCTGTCGCCGATAAACATTTCTGGGCACAAAGTATGGATTTCAAACACACAAAATAATTCTAACTTTTCAAAAGGTTATAGGCTTTAAACACTCGTTACACATACCGTCCATAACATAACAGCAATACCCACATCCAACACATCACCAACGAATGTTTCACTTTTAGCTTTAATCAAACATGAATGTATTCTTCCCTTTTCCCTTGCAGATTGCCAATCCTCTAATCACTTGTGTGGGTTAACGTGATGCACCACGCGTCGGTGTACCTAATTGGATTTCTCTTACAATGTGTGTCTCCAATTTCTGTCCAAGCAATGTGTCTCGTTGAGTATGACAAACTTGGGTGAAACAGGGATCTCCTGGAAAACGACTGTGGATCTGTATTGAAGGCAATGCGTAGAAAATCAGGTCTGTGAACTGAAGATGTATTTTATTTTGGACAAATCAATTCACTGTAACAACGTGAACTGAATAATGAAAAGTAACCATATTTGTTTGACATTATTTTATATGAAAGGACTGTAAAACAATTTGACAGATATTACATCTTGCAAGTCAGATGTATGATACGGTCAATGAACTTAATTCCAGTTGCTTCTTGGGTTGACAGGATGTTTTAAAGTTTGTTCTAATGTGTGCATTTTTATTTCTATGTTGACTGAAGACAAAATATATATATGAAATACACAATGCCATTTAGAAAGTGGTCAAATGTAACGTATGTTATATTTGGGATTACACTTTCTTAGTAAAGTACAGATTCTAGTACTTTTGTTGAGTTAAGTCCCGGTCTAGGCGTCTGACTTTGTGTGCTGGCGATTAGGTGCCTAACTCTGAGGGTGTGGGTTCGAATCCCGAATGGGACTCAACCAAACAAAAGTACTAGAATCTGTACTTTACTAAGAAAGTGTAATCCCAAATATAACATATGTTACAAAATATATATAGTTTGTATACTTATACCACTGCCAAGTAACTCGTGTACTGTGTTATACCATGTCTCCTTGTCAGCGGATCCTGGTAGCCAAGAGGGATAACTGAATCTAACCAGTTTATGAGTGTTGGATAGGCAAGATTAGATTGAAACATTCGGAGTAAGGACTCAATTGTATGAGTGTTAGTGAATTATAGGTGTTTTAGTCTTAATACGGCATGTTAGATTATGGGGAGGAAAGCCCGGAGTAATGCAGTCGTACATGGTAATCTCTCTGGTGAAACGTTACAACATTGGTTCTAATGGCGATGACAGACCCAGACCATCAGAGCCAATCTGGGTTTCCAATCAACAATGACACAAAACTGAAATGTGTGGCTATCCATGCACTCGTTCCGCACACGCACGCACCTACACACACATACGTAATACATTGAACTAAGGACATTTAAATGTTATTGTACATGTACCGGGAGCAACGACTGTGTTATTCAGCGTACAATATTTGCATATATGAGAAATGGGTCGTGATGCATTTGATCTCGTGTTTTATTTCAATACATAAAAACTGTTATTAAGAAACATGTAGTATTTACAAATAAAATACAAAAAAATAACAAGATCGAAAACAGAAGATAAACCAAAAACTAAAACAACGGAAAATGCTTTAATATTTCATGTATAAAATCATGTATAACAAGTTTTAAAAACGCTGATGAAGTGCTTCTATGTCCACTATAGTCGACAGAGATTTCAGTCAATTCTTCCATGGGCTTCAGATGCCCCATTCTCTTCCCACAGGGGTTACTTGTCATATCTTCCTGCGAACCTATGTTCTAATACGGCCCTTTCATGGTGCGAGTGTTCAGGATTCGTGATTGGTTGCAATCAGATTTAGTTGTGCAATCAGCGACGTTGTTTCAAAAGTGATCTTTCGCAAGGACTCGGTAATTTCCGTATGCTCTGAGAAAACTGGAGCCTCTTCCCCTGCTCGATACGCAAACGTTTCTTCTAGACAGAACTCAGTCATGTAATGGCGTCACCATCGCCCTCGTTGACAACGGACAAACTTGCCATTAAATGTCTTGTGTGTCACATCAAAACAAGTCCCCGGCTGAGAAGAGGGATATTTGTGGCCCCATTTTTAATTGCATCGATGTAACCCGTGTTCTGATTGGATAGAAAGAAGGGAGGTATTTCGTGTTGCGTTTTTTTGCCGCTAGGGGATTTTACGAGAACCGGGAAATATGGCCGTATTAGAACAGAGGTTCGTAGGAAGATATGACAAGTAACCTCTGTGGGAAGAGATTGCAGATGCCCGTGTGTTATGAAACCTGGCAATACTTTCATTTGCAATCGGGAACGAAGACATAAGCAAGTTAGCGACACCTGCCACCTGTTATATATAAAACAAGAATTATAATGTAGGACGTCAGTGGAAACAAACACCCAGTCTTGACTAACATCAGAAACCAATTCCGTTTGTAGTAAAAGGAGCAATATCTGTGACAATTATATGAGTCGATCACTATAAATCAGTGATGACATCAGGTGTTCCCGCAAAGGGTACGCACGACCTTCCCGTTATCTCTAAAGCTGTAAGGAATGGTCTTGCCCGAAAGCATACAGCCATAGTGAGAACCAGACTTCGAAACACCCACCTTCCCACCTCCATAACACACCGATTCCTTTCTGAAAATAAATGTCAATTACTATAGAAAGACACAACAGCCAGTTCCAAACTACTCGGAATGCCGTTGTGTTCTGATTCAGTTGATTTCTTATGAGGTTTGTGTTCAATCAAAGGGAATATAATACCGTTTGAATCTGCTATGACGCATTTTATAAGAGATTTTTAATGTTCTTATAAAAGATTGTAGTTATTGTTAGCAACTAAAAAGATGAATGAAACAAAACATACTATTTCATGTGTGTGACAAAACAGTCGACTAAATGACAGTGGACACTTTACAATTGAAATATATAATAAAATATTAACAAAGAAAACCTGAAAAGTTATTTTCTGCAACACTCTTGCCAATTACTGACATCAACAAGAATACTTATCCAATGTCCATAAAACATAACAAATTTAATATACCACGATAATAATAATAGCCCTATCTCCATAGCGACATTCCTGCAAGTCTATGTTGACATTACATGACATTAGGGACAGTCCACTCTGTGTGACCTGCATGTCGACATCCCGATCTTGATCCGAGGCCCTGTGATGGTCAGTACTCTCCGAAAACTGTCCATCTTCCTTCTTAGACTCCACCTTGATCAGCTGATCGCAGCATTTCTCTTCTCAGCATCGGGGATAACACTGAATTCCTTTCTCGATTTCTGTCACTGGTACTGAACCCACGTGAGATGCTTATCTGAAATGGATAAGGATGGATTGAAACATACATTGGCCACTGCACTATCACCCCAGCATTTGTCAATACCATGTTTAGTTCAGAAACTCAGCAGTTTAAGCTTTACGGTTACCTTTGGTTTTCGCGAAACAAGTTGTAATGTATGACGTTTTAATATCTTAGTTGAAATGCATATGTGCGAAAGAAGTAGAAAGGGTAGAGGGTTTTTTATTGTCTCATATGTCTTGACTGACTGACTGACTGACTGAGTTTGGTTTTACGCCGCTTTTAGCAATATTCCAGCAACATCACGGCGGGGGACACCAGAAATGGGCTTCACACATTGTACCCATGTGGGGGATTCGAACCCCGGTCTTCGGCGTGACGAGCCAACGCTTTAACCATTAGGCTACCCCACCGCCCCCATATGTCTTGAAGAATACGCGAGTGCAAACAGTGCATATGAAATAGAATACATCTATCATGCTTTTCATACCACTTTGACAACGTTTTGCCTACGCTTAGGTTCCACGATCATGTTTCTCCAGGTGTGGGCAAGCCAGATCTCTAGAATCTGCTTGTGAAAGTAATCTTTTCCATGGCGGCCAATGTATTTCCCTTGATGTGAGCATTACAACAATCATTATATCTTCAGCTATCATCCCTATCCTATTACATTTCAATCGTGAAGTCCCAGATGACCTATAATTGTGCTTAACATGCACGAATCTAGTTAGATGGAAGCGGGGGTCGCATTTCTTTGAAGCATATTCAATACCAAAGATTGCCATCGTTTTGCCAGCCATATATGGATGTAGGTTTTATGTAACAAGTATCTACTAAAGCGGATTTCTTTGCGTAAATGGCAAACAACAGTTTAAAATTGTCTGAATACTTAAATCTGTGATGACACCGGGTGATTGTGAAGAGATACGTATTTCCCGGTCTTCCTATAACATCCCAAAATGTTTTATAAAAAAGTCAATGTTTGTTGCGTTTACGCCGCTGAGCGGCCTGTCAACAACCGATTCTTGACCAAACACGGGCGGAGGGGTAGCCTAGTGCTTAAAGCGTTCGCTCGTCACGCTACCCGGGTTCGATTCCCCACATGGGTACAATGTGTGAAGCCCATTCCTGGTGTCCTCGCCGTGATATTGCTGGAATATTGCTAAAAGCGGCGTAAAACTAAACTCACTGACTTACTTCACCAAACACACGGTATCTGGTGTTCATTCCATTTAAATTTGTTTTGTTTTTAAAATAACTTTAATCTAGATGTTGTACTGCGGGCATGTTCAGACATGGAATTCCAATGTGAAATACAAATCTTTAGGTTACATAGTTACATGTGTACTTGAGGTCTTTACACCTTTAAGACTTGAGGGGCGGTGGGGTAGCCTAGCGGTTAAGGTGTTGGCTCGTCAAGCCGAAGACCCGGGTTCGATTTCCCACATGGGTCCAATGTGTGAAGCCTATTTCTAACGGGATCGGGTGGTCAGGCTAACTGACTTGGTTGATACATGTCATCGTATACCAATTGCGCAGATCGATGCTCATGCTGTTGATCACTGGCTTCTCTGGTCCAGACTCGATTATCTACAGACTGCCGCCATATAGCTGGAATATTGCTGAGTGCTTCGTAAAACTAAGCTCACTCACTCACTCTGGTGTCACCCGCTGGAATGTAGCTAAAAGGGGCGTAAAACCACTCATTTTAAGACTTTGAGCCTCTTTGTAATATAAACTGGCGGCATCGTAAACTGAAGGCCAGAGAAAATATACAGAGTTTGTTTTCTATTTAATTGCAAATGTAAAGAACTGTTGTTAAATTGGATGAGTTCTTTTTAACCATTACTCATTCGTGAAACTTTTTGTAAAACGTAATCGATGGCTTGATAATTTGGTATAAAAATATTTTGTTTCATTGGACACATTTGCAGTCACATAACCCGAACCATGCTTGAAAATGTAAATGTTTGTGTAAAAACCAAATGTATTGGTGTCCAAAGATATGATGTCATCGGGTGTGAAATATGAACTATTTTAAATTTTAATATCAAATCATAGTTTATTTTACTCCTGAGCTGTGGTGACATTAATCGGGCTGCAACTTTTTGGGTGATTTGTTGCCAATACAAAGAATACAACTACCACCAATTGCTTCCTTGAGTGTGTACATCAATCTTGCATATTATGTTAAACTGTGGCGGTAGAATCCCCCGAGATGTCCCAGCGGTTGTAGTGAGACCTACAGATATCTGGTGTTCTCACAGTCAGCTCCCACACAGATAACTGCTCCCTCACACACGACACAACAGCCGAAATTGACAGTGTCGTTAGCATACAAACGACTCCATTATTGACGAAATATGTACGTGGAAAGAAAGCCGAGCGTTTCATAGCATGACGGTGACGTTTTTGGCAACATGATAGCGTTATATTACGATGAAACGTGCCTTACATTTACATAACTGAAGGGGATGGTGTATAAACATCTCGGAATGCGTCTGGTTGTGTCCTAGATTAATTTCGATAGAATGATGCGAGATCATGTAACTGCAACCGTCTGCGTGTGGGGAGGGTATAATGGTGATAACTATCATAATATTATTATTATTATGTTTATGTAATGCTTGATCTATGATTTCCCACATGTATGAAACAGATGGGATTTCTCCTTCAGTCAGTGTAAGATGTGACGAAGCGCCATATGTCTCTGTTTTGTAATAGAGTGAGTGAGTGAGTATGGTTTTACCCCGCGTTTAGCAATAAATATAGCAATATCACGGCGTGGGACACGGGAAATGGGCTTCACACATTGTACCCATGTGGGGAATCGAACCCGGGACTTTAGCGTTACGACGCTTTAACCATTAGGCTAGCCCACTGTGATAGAGGTGCGCGGCTGGACCAAGGGAGCTCCGAATGAGACGCATCTATTTATATCTCCTTGTACATGTTTTGAGGGAGTAAGTTGCGTTTGACGCCACTATGAAATGTATTCCAGTTGTACAACGGCGTGTCACCTCACTGGTGGTGGAAAGCCCGATGCAGGTCCACTTTGTTGAACCCAGCGAGGTAGAGTATGGTGTTGGCAAACTTAGAAACATATTGAGAGCAAATCAGAATTCTGCACAACGAACAGTTGCGATTCAAACAACTGAGCCCTCATCAACTCTGTGCGACATTCAACAAAAATGAGTGACACATGAACTGCACCTCTGACCGGTAACATGCACGAGTGAGTCATTTTTCTTTTCCTCCGCTTTTAGAAATATGTGAAAGATATTACGACAGAGAACACCGGAAATCAGATTCAAACATTCTACCCATGTGGGAATCGAACCAGTAACGAGCGCACCCTTGAACCTCTTGGATACTCACCGCTAATGTATACGATATGAGTGAGTGAGTGAGTTTGGTTTTACGCCGCTTTTAGCAATATTCCAGCAATATCACGGCGGGGGACACCAGAAATGGGCTTCACACAATGTACCCATGTGGGGAAGCGAACCCGGGTCTTCGGCGTGACGAGCGAACGCTTTAACCACTAGGCTACCCCACCGCCCCGTATACGATATGAAATGATGTCGCATCGGTGTAACCACAATGGTCTGAAGCTTTTCCTGTACAGTTAGTAATATCTGGTGACAACAGACCCCACTGCATGGCTCCGGCAATATCAATAGCATGTGCTGTGAATCCCATAGTGATGATACCTGGTTATATGAGATAGAAAATACCATTAAAATGTCCACTTTATTAATTTCATTTAATCACGCCCGAAAACCATCATAGCACTATACCATTCGTAAGCCTGTGATAAAGTATAGTGTTACGATAGGTCGTAATGTTACAAACGCTTTGTGGATTGGGACCCAGGTCTACATGCGCATATACTTCATCTGATTCAAACCGTCACATATATGTGTTCTCCGTCATTTAGCCATATCCGTGAAGTTGAAAGTTAGAATTGGTCTTCAGTAACCCATGCTTGTTGTATGAGGCGACTAACGGGATCGGATGGGCACATGTCATTGTATCCCAATTACATAGATTGATGTGCATGCTGTTGATCGATGCTTATGCTCAGTCACTGGATTGTTCGGTCCAGACATGATTATCTAGATCGCCGCCACACAGCTGGACTATTGCTGAGTGCGGCGTTAAACAACAAATAATAATATCTAAACAACGTACCTGTTTTTCGGATCGAATCCTGCTGCACTGGCACTTGATAATCCTCAAAATACACGTCTTAAATCCTCTATGCATGAAGCAGTACAGTATAGGGTTCTGTGCACTGTTCGTATGGCCCAGCAACAGGGTGAAAGGATATAGTGTTATTAGATTATACTGCATGGACTGATCAAAGTCCATACATATGCTGAAGATATAGTACGGCAACCAACACACCGCAAACAACACAGAAATGATTATCATCATCAGCGCCAGGCGACGTCGGCTTAACATGACCTTGGCCTCGTTATTCATACAGGAATTCTGACGTTTAAGGCTGGCGTCACGCCGCCACAGTTTACATCCCATTAGAGCGTACAACAGCACTATCATGCTCCCAGGAATGATGTAGATAAAAAACAATAAGAAGATGTCGTATATCTGTCGGTCCTGTTGTCTCGGCCACTGTTCCGTGCAAAATTTTAGACTGAACGCTTCAATGGTATGTACGCGTAGTTGACGTACGATGGCCAAAGGGACCATCACACCCGCCGCTAGCAGCCATGTAAGTCCGACAAGGATTTTCACCTTCCCAACAGTGAAGATTCGTCGGTGTATCATAGGATGTCTGATGGCAAAGTACCGGTCAATCCCCATACATACAATTGTCAACACGCTGGCTCCGATGTAGATCCCTGCAAGACAATAGCAAAGTTTCGTCAACAATCGAACGCTTTAACTGCCAGACTATCCCATTGTCCAAAGTGTTGGAAGAATACAACGTTGAGTCTAAAGCATATTTATGTTACTTATCTCAGTAGCTCCAGCAGACAAATGTCACAAGAAAAGAAACTGACAAAACATAACAGAATCAAATCGATGTCTGGGATCAAATCAGCTATTACCTTGCAAGTAGCCAGTAAGCTTGCACAGCGTCTCTCCAAATATCCACACTTGGTACACAATGTCTGCCACCGTCATTGGGATACAGCACACGGCAACTGTAATGACATGATATGTATCAGTACAATGAAAGATACAGCGCTGCCAGGTAGTATTCATCTTGCAACAAATTGTAAAATATAGGGATTAGGACAGGCACAAGTGCCCTTTTTCTCAAAACGTTCGTAGCCCCAAGACTTCTTAACTTTTATCGTAGCCAGTGTGTTCAGAATGGGCTTAACAAGTTCGCTGGGCTACGAACGTTTCGAGAATAGCTAGCCAGTTTCTCACAAAGCTTGAATCACACCAACTTAGCATGCAATTAGGATAAGATTCGCATGAACTAATGCTGGTTAAATACAGATCAAACTTTATGGACAACAACTTCTTGTCAAGCAGTTGTCATCCCTGCTTGACAGCGGTACAAGATTCTGTATCAAAACGTCGCTCTCACGAATAAAAGTTGTTATCTATAAAGTTTGTTCTGTATTGTACCTCCCAACTTCTAAAATGCCACTCAAAGAAGTTAGTGCTGGTTTATGTAGCGTGCGCACAGCCCAAGAATAGCTCAAATGACATACACTAAAAAAAGTGTGAGTCGGGTTGGTTATCCGTTTACTTTCGAAATAGTATCCATTATTTAAAAAAGGTACTTTTGGAGAAAACTACCACAGCATTGTAGCAGGAACTACACTAATACGTTGGCAATAAAGTTTCCACATTCAAGAAACTTCTTCTAAACCAGGAATCGATTGTACGATTCCAACTGTCACATGTCAGTAAGTACGTCAATTGCACACCCTAAGCCTGTTAAAGCAGACTATACAATCCCTAAGAGTAACCAGCTTACAAGTGTATTATGTGCTCAAATACCTTTCGTCAGACTATAATATATTATATCCCCTCCTACAGTTTTCTACAGAACGAACAGAGAGGCTTCCCAGACTTCCCAGCTTAGACACATGACTTAACATTCCGGCCTGATGATCTACTTCCTTCAGAACTAGGTCTGATTCCAGTATACATGCTGATCACGGACGCTTTCGCGTAAGAAGAAATCAGAGACGATTGTAATCTGTTGTAAACCAACAGTTATTTGACGAACCGTTTGGCGTTCTCGGGCGACAGAGAGTAAGAACCTTGGACAAATTGGTTTACCCGGTGAATGTCAATGTCTCACTATCCGTCCAAATAGAAGACGAAGTTAAGTTCACGCTGCTATTATTGGGTACGATTTGATTGACCTTTGGCGTCTCGACAGTCACTGCTAGGTTATAGACTGACACTAAAATCAAGAAGTATAAAAGACCAAATAACGTTTCCCCACTTGCTAATGAATTGATGGTATTCCAACATATGTTTGGCGACGTTTCTTGGAGAAACTTGGCTGTGTTTCCGGACGTCTCATTATCAGTATGTATAGTATGACCAGAAATTATTGAGAATTTTAGGAATATGTTTAATTGGATTTCTAGTATAAACAACTTTGACCAGCTATCAAGTGCTTGGTTTCATTCAAGAGAGACAACTCCGTTAATACTTTTTTCATTAGTTTGTGAAGCGTTCTCCCGCTTTGTTTACTTGCTAGCAGACGACATTTTCAGTGATCCTCAGTATGGATGATTTAGAGAAGGGTAAGTTGATTTTAGAGTATTATAACAAGGGCATCAAATCAGCTAAAGTGATTTCAAGTAGAACTGGCATCCCTTTGTCCACTGTTTATCGTGTTTGAAAAATATTGAAAATGGATATGGCATTGAGCACCAGGGAGGCGCAGGTAGGCCCAGAAAATTGACAGGAGGCGGCTTGGTATTCTTGTTTCTAAAGACAAACGAAGGAGTTTAGAAAACTTAAGGCTGGATATGATTGATAGAGGAACTGTGGCTGTCTGTAAGGAGACAATTAGAACTGAGCTGCATGCAATGGGTTGGCAGAAAAGTCGAGGAATTCCATCACCGATCATGAAACCTGAACAAAAGGAGCGAAGGTTGAACTGTTGCTTACAGCATAGAAATTTTAACTGGGACAATGTGATTTTCTCAGATGAAAGTTCTGTGTGGCTGTTTCCTAATACACTGAAATTCTGGACCAAACAAACTGAAAAACCTTTGTATCAGCGCCCAAACTACAGTCCGAAATTTAACATGTGGGGTGGCATATCTGTGTTAGGGGCAACGCCCCTCTGTGTATTTGAAGGGAATATGAACAGTGAGCGGTACACAGATATTCTCGAGGGACATTTACTTCCATCTGCTCACGTGTTCTATGGAAAGTTTTGGATTTTCCAGCAAGACAACGACCCAAAACATCGTTCAAAGCATTCACAGGCCTGGTTTCGGACCCGAAATATGACATTATTAGATTGTCCAAGCTATAGCCCTGACCTAAATCCAATAGAAAATGTTTGGGGACTTATGAAGGAAAGTGTCAATAAGAAAAATCTGACAAATATTGCTGAAATGAAAGAAGAGGTGTTCCGATATTGGGACAGCATGGACCACGACTTTCTAATTTCTTTGATCAGTAGTATGCCCCGCCGCATTGAAGCCTGCATTGCTGCCTATGGTGACTTGACAAAATACTAACTGTTGACCTGTCTTTGAATGTTCTGCTAATATTCACATTTAATATGTGAGTAAGAAGTGAAAATTCTTTAAAAAATTACAATCTTTATATTCTCAATAATTTCTGGTTGTACTGTAAATAATGAGACTATTGCAGTTTTCTTTGCTGGAAACAAATTGACGATGAATCGATGAATATACAAAATATATTCTCAAAGATCCTAACACTTACGTCAAAGTATTTCAGTATTTCATTGACGGTGACCCTTCCTGTTCGAACACGAATACAGTTACATTAATAATGGCAACTACAAAATGAACAACTCCTTGCCGAAGACTTATGCGTAGGACGCTAATACCGCTATACCCATTCATATCACATATCGCGTGCTTAGGTTATGATGAAGAGAATGCTAGCGAAACACAAAAGCAATTCGTTAGCTATCCACTATCCACACACACGTAATTTGCTGAAGAGAAACTCCAAGTCTCAAAATCAACTTATCTCAAGGGGTCTCTGGTGCCTGCTTAATTGTGTCTCAATTGAGCGAGACAATCACCTCGTACCACCTGAGACCAATACTTATAACGACCTACATGATCAATATGTTCGTGTCTGGCGACAGTCATGTGAAACTAGTTGATATGGCAATAGTCATAGGGAATTGATTCTCTTCTCGGGTTGAACATGACTGTTGACACTTGGACTTATGATAGGCCTATATGTACATGAAAGATGCGTGCGTCACGCAAGATGAAGATAGCCAGTGCGTCTAGGTAAATGTTTGACCTCTGCAACTGGCAGATAAACATCCTGAAGAACACGGCATCACATCCTGTGTGTCACACATACCATCAATCACAGAGACACGTTATTCGTAGAACAGAATAATAATCTATACCGCACCTCGATGATTGCAACACAGGACAATAAACGTTGATTAGATAACTCTATAACAGGTTACTGAAACTCACATTGTGTGTGACAACTGGAGTGTTTGATTGGAGAATCATCATTGGCGGATGTATGCGTGACTATCTGTGTTAAGGTAGCTTGGGGTTATACTCCCTAAGGAGTTGAGAATGAAAACTGGATCAAATGACCGGGACAATAATGTTTGTGCTTTGTGTATGCACAGACTCCACGGCACAATTTAAGAACCCTACATTCTTATAACTTTTCCGTAAAACTTGTAGGATTCTGCAATTTGTCGCAGAGTTAGTTGTGAAACTGAAACTGAAGGATTGTATTATTCATTACTTACATTTTCTTGAAATGATACCCATTTGGACAGATCAAATTTCAGATTGTCTCAACGTTATTTCAGAAATGCAGGCTAAATACAACCTTTTTATCATCTCTTCTTCCATAACAACAGGTGGTGTGAGTTGAAACTGTTGATATTCCACCGTAAGGCACTCAATGGTAAACACATTTTAACTTGAAACGAAAAGACATTGATATATCTTCGATGTCTTATGCATTTGCTGTACAGTATCTGGACGTTACTGTGTTATTACTATATGTATCTTCCCTCAGTAGCATTTGAGAAAATATAGTTCGTTACAAAATATTTCGGATTATTCCATTTTATGCATACAGGAGGAAACAGGGTTGATATAACAATTACCACGGTTTGTTTCTGAAACAGTATGAGGTCTAAGCCATCCTCGAAGGCACAGAATGAGTTTAACACCGCTTGGAACAGCATTTGGGAATATTTGGGAGGAAAGCCCCAAGGGTAGAGTCTACCACTTTGGTGGAACAACCCACTTGCTATGGTATAGTTCCGATCAACAACAGGATCAGGGAGAAGCAGGTATCCAGATCACACTAAAGGAATCTGGAAAGCCCAAGGGAAAATACACAGTAACATTAGACGACTAGGCGACCATGTCTCTGGAAGAACATAGAGAAAATAACCCGGAATATTGTATGTTGATATAGGCGATTTCTCTAAACATATCATCCTTGTTGTAAGACGCTGTTAAGCGCTTTTGACAGGCGATATGTTGATGAACACCGATGCTGGACATTCACTGCCCATTCCTCATTACCGGTCTGGCGCAGCAGTCAAGGATTACCTCTTTCTTGTCACGACTGAAATACATCTTTGGTTCAAGAAGTATCGCTGTTTTTCTTCCGTTGGAGTATGAGCAAGAGCAGGTCAACATCAATGCATACATAAACGCAGAAACGTACATTAGACATTTTTGAGTTTGCATCAGTTTGCCTGTTAGGTCGTGCTTGGCTGCATTCCATCTGTATGGGGGCGGTGGGGTAGCCTAGTGGTTAAAGCGTTCGCTTGTCACGCAGAAGACCCGTGTTCGGTTCGCCACATGGGTACAATGTGTGAA